GTCGTCTCAAGAGAGGTGACACTTAAAAATATTCTTACAAGTTCTGACCTGTTGCTGAAATGAAAGAAGGAGCACATAAATCACACAGGATACCTTAACAATTTTTAAGTGGGGATCATCCCCTAAGAGAGAGGGAACTCTCTTTGAGACCTGTTCCTGAAATGATAGAAGGGGTACACAAATCAAAGAAGTCAATATATTTGACTATTTCTTTATTAACAATAGAATACAAGTTTAGATTTTACAAGCCAACAAAATACATGCCGTCATATTGACACAGATCTTTCGACCCGCATCGTCCCGTACATGTAAGCAAGTAGCACGTCACGGTATCACGGTATCCTACCGGGATAAAGAAATTAGCAAATTGCCCATTTTCTGGGTAATGGAAAATGGAAATTATACGGGGGTGTCACGAAGAAAATTCTCATAAGATTACCGGATTTAGAGATTACATACAGTCAAACAAAATTTTCCAGGGTGTGCAGGAAAGGACCCTGCAGTGTCCCAATTAGAAAATTTAACCATCCATAAAAGGAAAACATCAAACACTACAAATAGTGCTCACGTGTTCACCCAATGCTCCGGAACCTAATAAACAGAATTTACCGAAATGGAGTGCAAAAAGATGGCACTAAAATAGCAGTTGAAGGAGAATTTTCACGGGCACAAGAAAAACGTTTAAAACAAAGAACACTCAAAACTCACAAATAAAAGCGATTTACTACGTACTGTTGCAAAAGGAAGATTTTATAAACTACAAACTTGGTCAATATTCTCTTCATGACGAGAGAAATTTATACCGAAATCATCGGAAACGTTGAGGAAAAAAGGTGCTACAAGAATAAAACACTTACATTTTAATTTATTGTGAATATATTTGTCATTTGATGATAGCATCAACTATATAAGGTAACTGACGGGTGAAGTATCATCATAAATTGATAGAACATTCGGCGGAAAATATGCAAATCAGCAGACGGCAAGCGACGGCCCGTGGTAATACAGTAGGTAAATACGATAAAAATAACTATTTACTTGTAATTATTAAGATATATGGAGACTATGACAGCGAGAAACTATGCAATGTACTAGATTTTATTAGAAATAATAAAAAACAAGAAACTTTTTAATTTAATGATGCAAAGGAGTGTAATTCGATTAAAAACGTTCAGCGAAAAGAGGAGGTCGAGCCGACGGTCGACGGCAAAGTGAGCTTAGTCGATCACATGATTATTGTCATTTTAATAATCCACAGATACTATCATGCAGGTTATTTTCGGAATTCGGATGAATTCGGATAAAAAATGCTACCACGTGTTTGTAATTTGCAAAAGTCAATTTGATTTCTAACTTTGTTAACTACCATATGTCATAATTTTAATTAACATTTCTTCAAATATTTTTTGATTTATTTATAAATAACCTTAGGTGTCCGCCACTAGGGGACTTCCCCCTATGACGTCATTTTAAAACATGTTTATGCCCTGCATAGCTGCCATATGCAAGCGGCTACCAAATTACAAAAAATAACACTTGAAAGTAGCGAATTGCACCCTGTTTTCACGTGACATCAATAGAAAATTATATACAGGGTGTTATCAAAAGAAAATCATCAATTTTAAAATGAAAATGGCTCCAAAACAATGAATATTGCCAATTGGTGGCTGGGCATAAAGGAAAATTTCCCTACAGGATGTTGTCGAAAGAAAATTTTTAATTTAAAATCACACCAAAATCACAAAGATTGCCAATTTTTCACTGGGCAATAAGGAAAATTTATATATATTACGACAAAAATTTATATGTATCACAAATAAAAAAAAAAAAAAGTGCATGTTTTATTACCTGTTTCCTATTGTTTATCTGGAAGAGCTGATAGGTGTAGATTATAATAAACAATTTAATTACTAATAATTATGATTTTATTAAAAATCTTTTAAAGAAATACTAAATTAGGCTCTTTTCAAAAGCAACAATCAAGCACGAAAAACGGTATCTAGTGGGAACGAATACGGAGCCGACGGAACGCAATAATATTTCAACACTTGCTTTACAACGACCATGTGACGTTTATTCCTACTTATTTTTAGAGTGTTTACTTATTTCACTGATCACTTTTTTAGTTCATCAGGTAATCAAGGATAGTACTGAAACAAAAAAACACGTGTGTGAGAAGTCGCACTATGATGCACACTTATTTAAATTCGTTTTGTCGGATAATGAACATGTACTATTTTAACACACAAATTTCACGGAATATCCTGCTAAGGAGAGCCGTTAATTACACTTACTTAAAATTACGAATAGGATACATATTTCTAATTT